AAAGCATAGAAAGTGCCAATATAATTGTAAATTATATTCATAAAGGAATTCTATCCAGATTAAGGATTGTCACATTGTCCCCTTGCATTGGCTGGTTCACATCTGAATTATTACAGCAATCCTTGCTGGGAGATACATTGTCAAAATGAGGCATATCCAGAATGGTGCTTAGAAAGTTCAGTTTATAAATTTCTTTGATGCTTAAATTCGTTATTTTGCTGTGTAACATGAACTGTAAAGAATAAAACTACCAGGCATGTTTTCAAGGAGTGTAGGTGCACCACTCCAGTCAAAATGCAGAACCGTTGAGTGAAATCCACCCCCCGGAGTCTGTGGAGCTTGAGTGATGGGGTTTGTCAGTGGTAATTCTCCTTTCCCTGAAAATGGATCGGTTCCTGAATGCCAAGTTAAATTGTATGTTGTACATTCCTAATTTATTGAACCATTGAGGGGGGCTCAGCCCTATTTCAAGTAAATTGTAAAGCATCTTTCCATTTCTTTTTATCCTGGGCATGGGAAAAAAGGTTTTAGATGGAGATAGGAAAGATTCTCAGTTTATTTCAAAATGAAGTGGATAGTTTAAAAAAAGTGTTTCCCAAATTGAAGATTTTTTCCCATTCCTGAAGAAGCATGTGCACACACATTGCTGTAGATTAATGATAATCCGTATGGATTGCAGGGACTTGCAGCCTAAAAATGTCAAGTTTTCAAAGTCTGCTGAATTAGATATTATTTACTGATGAGGTCTTAATACAACAAGACTGTATCAGAATACAAATCATCAAAACATAACTGGCGCAGGGAGAATGCAAGTAAATTATTCACAGGCATTTCATTTTTGGTTTTGAAATCTACTCTCTAAATCCTAGGAAAGACACTGTGAGCGCTCTTTATTCATCTTTGCTTCTGACACTAACGCCCAGCGCACACAGTTTTCACGCAAACATTCTGTGCGATTCCTTTAACCATAACAACCGTTGCCAACCTGTAATCTGAATGTATCTGTGCCCAGGGCGGTTCCCTGATGAAGCTGAATGAGGCGCTACTGTCCTTGATGTTAGAGGCTTTTAAGCTGTCTTGGAACACGAGGCGCCGGAGGGCAGAAATTAGTCGAAGGTCTGTACCAACACCCGTGCACGTGAATGTGGCGTGGCATTCTCCTCGCAGGTGGCCTCCTTCCTTGTACAGCGCAGTACAGACACCATGCCAGTAAAGTGGGAGAATGACGCCGAGTGGGGGCTGACCTCCGGGCCGTGGCTGCTGCTCTGAGGGCCCAGGGCCCCGCGTGCAGGCCGTGGGGGTCGCCAGCTCGCCTGTGGCTCCGCCCCGGCCCAGGGCTCAGCCTCAGCGGGGCCCAGAAGCTGCGAAGAGGAACCTCCTCCCGAACCTGCCTTCAGGCCGAGGGGGGGCGGGGAGGATTGTCATTAAAGGAAACCCGATCTGTTGGCTTAAAGGCCTGCGGGCCGGTGGCCAGTCAGCCTCGGGTTCTGCCTCGTCTGTGGCTGTTTTGTGCTCCATTGGCTCCCCTCTCCTCTCCACCTTCCTTCTGGAGCACCCGGGTGGCGGGGTCAGCGTCCTGTGGTCTGGACTGCGTGCCCTCCCTCCCCGCTGCCGGTGCCCCTGCTGTAGGGACGTCTGCCCAGCTCTGCTGCCACCCCCCCCCCCCCCCCCCCCCCCCCCCCCCCCCACCCCCCNCCCCCGCCCCCCGCACCGTGGGGACGCAGGCAGCCCCGGGACCTTAGCTCTCAGCCCCCTGCCGTGCCCCCTCTGAAGCACGAGGAAGCCTCTAGGTTCTCTGGCTCATCCCAAAGCTAAGCAGGTGGGGAAGGGGACTGCCTCCCTCTCTCGCCGCCTGACTGCACTGCGCCAGGAGTTCTGTTCTGTGCTGCGGACACCCCCTGACTGGGTGGCCCCCTCTGGAAGTTCAGAATGGAGGCCAGGCCCTAGTCCCCTGTGCCATCTGCTTTTCTTCTCTGTTCTAGTGTCTTGTCCCCTTCAGATGTGCCACCTCTCCCCACCGGGAAGGCGTCCGCACCCGTTCCTTGCGAGAGGAACCCTCTGCCTCCCCACCTGCCACGTGCACTTACTTGCTCTTGAGGTTCCCCAACATAGACGAACTGTGGGGTGGAGAGTGGACGTTACAAGAGAAGAAAATACATCAAGAGGCATTTCAAAAATTTCCCAAAGCACTTCAGTAAATATATATGGAGCAGCTATGTTACATGTTAGATTGTGGTGAGCAAAGCAGATGAGGTTCTTTGTGACTTTCCAGCCCGAGTGTCATGTAAGAAAGGACTTAGACACACATGCATAGGATGACCACTGGAACAGTACTGTAGACCCAGCTCAATGCTCATCAGTAAGGAGACGGGTAAATAAAGTATGGAACAGCCATACTCTGGAATATTACACAGTAACTAAAAAGAATTAGATGATAAGATAAATCTATACTACTCCCGTGGAAGAAGAATCTATACATTTTCATCTGCATATACGTTGTACACATGTACAGACATCCATTATATGTCTGCATGAGAACATGCAAAAATCTAGAAGATTACACAGCTAATCCTTAACAAGTTTCCCCAGGAGGTGAGATCTGACATGTCGGGGAGAGCTGAGGGAGGGAACTCTCACCTTGACTTCATACACTTCTACGTTTGTGTTTTGCACAAGTTGTGGTGTTGGCTTTGTGTTAGGGCGGATGGGGAAGTCACACACCAAGAGTTGTCACTGTCGCGCCGCCTAGTCCGCATCGCTGGGTTGCTGACAGGCTGCGTCCAGGCGGGAGGAGAGGCAGCAGGCGGTCCCCGTTCCCGGGTGTGAGCTCGGGCGGCATGCCCCGATCTTCAGGCTGTCCCCAGGGGAGTTCCTAGGACAGTGGGGACAGCGGCCCTCGTGGGCACCCCCTCCTCCTCCCTCTTCAGCCCAGTGTGCTTCCACCTCCTTTGTGTCTCCCGTTCAAAGTCCCATCTGGCTGGTTTCCCCAAGTTCTCATCTTTTGCCTTAGAAATCAGCAAGTCCCATGTCTCCTTCCATGTCTTGCGTATTTTCATCAATCCCGGTGTCTGTTGTAAATCAAAATTGCTGTTTTTCCCATCCAGTTCTGCTGCTTTAATCCCAGTGGTTAGACTCAGAGGAAGAAAAATGTGTTCCGAGCCTTCATCTGGGTTACAGTCTGTTGGAGGACTGTCATCCCTGCCCGTCCAAATGAGACACATCTGCTGGGTTAGTGTCGCTCCAGAAGTGTCTCCTCACGTCTTACAAGATCTGTGTTCCTCCACTGCTATGCTGTGAGCTTGTCATTCCGGAAGAGCGTTTGGCCTCTCTCAACTTGGGATGTGTTGCCTACAGACACCACACCCCACCTCCCGTCCCCTCCCTGGGGCTATGTCCTGGCCGCAGAGGGCGGGGAGCAGGGCGGCAGGGGCGCCCCCATCAGTCCCCGCGTGCTCTCTGGGTACCTGGTATTGAAATGACATTCAATGTCAACATCAGTTCTTACCCATTCATATTGAGGTTTCACTGTTTGTTCTTTCTCTTTTATTTTATGCTCAAGATTTCTTCCAAACTCAAGCTAGCCGGAGTGTATTTCCCAGCTTCATTACTCCCTAGCTGTCATGCTGAGCCTCAGGCCCTCATCTGTAAAATGGGGACACTGGTAACACTAACCTCACAGTGGTGACAGGAGGCTAACCAAGTCAAGGACAGTAAAGCCCATGGAACGGAGCTGACTCCGGGTTCAGTACGTGCCCGTCCTGCCACGGCACTGCCAATGCCCTGCTCTGTGACTTGGCGTCTCTCCTTATGTTTTTCATATTTTAATTATATCTCCGGAAGACCTGTATCTCCCATCTGTTCATTATTTTGAACTCTCATAATAGGTGATTAATACTTACCTAATGAGGAAATGCAGGTGGAAGAAAAAAGGTTTGAATGGATTACCAGACTCAGTCTGAATTTCTATAAAAACAACCTCCAAGAATACTGACAATTTAGAACTATTTTGAAAAGGAATTAAACACCTGAAAAAAGATGGTTCCTGTCTGTATTGGGCTGGGCTGTATTTAGATAACAGTTACTATTTTAAATGGTGGTATAGGTTATCAAGCTGCTAATGTTAGTTATTGCTTTTATGGCTTTAAATTTAATCTTGGGAACAAGCTTATTTACAGCTTCATGAGAAGCTTTGTGATTAAAAAAAATACCAGATAAACAAATACACATATGTGTGTGTACATGTACATGAATATGTCTGTGCATTATATGTATGTATGTGTATGCTTCTGAGAAACTCACTGAACCTTCCCTGGCTCCTGGAGCCTCCATCAGGCCATTTTGTTAATTTTCCTTCCAAAGATAAAAGGCTCCTGGCAACTATTCCACTGTAGTCCTTTCAAACTGTTTTGAGTAAAATAGCTGGAGATCCTCTTTCAGCCTATCTGTTAACACTAAGCATTATTAGGACTTGGCTCATTCATTCAAGAGTTAATTTTTGAATGTCTGCTATATGCCACAAGCCAAGCTGTTTTTTTACCCCCTGAATGTTAAGCCTAGTGGAACCCGACAACTTTCAAACACAGTTATATAGGGGTTTGTTCACAGCAAGTGAAAGAAATCCTTTGCTCCAGAAGCTCCAATTTTGAAAAGGAAAATAAACTGAGATTAAGTCATAAAAGAAAAGAAAAAAAAAAAGACCTGATAGCTGTAAATGATACCTTAAGCCTCCGCAGCTGAGAAGCACTCACAAATTAGTTTTCTCTCTGTCACACAGTGAGTGCTGTTGGTTAGGGAGTGGCTTTGTCTGTGAGCAGCTTCATCTCCTACCAGCTTCTCTCTCTCTCTTGTCTTTCTGTTACAATATAAAAGCTTCTGTTTCATTTGCTTACGTTATTAAGCCAATAATATTTAATCTCATCAGAAAACATAATGATTGTATGCTTGGGAGCAAGCGTCACAGAGTTCCTCCCAGTAAACATGACGACATCTCCCTCTTGCAGGTGCAGGTATTGGCATTATGATGAAAACCTGCTCACGTCCAGTGTCGTCATCGTCTTCCACAATGAAGGATGGTCGACCCTCATGAGAACAGTCCACAGTGTGATTAAAAGGACTCCAAGGAAATATTTAGCAGAAATTGTGTTAATTGATGATTTCAGTAATAAAGGTAAAATAGCCTTGGAATTGCTGTTTTGTCTATAGAATAAGTTAATCATGAGTAATTGCCAAAATGTGATTTCAAAATAATTAGTCTTTAAAAACTAATAGGTAGCATCTACTGATAGCATGTTATCAACAAGTTGGCACTGAGCCAGTCATCGTATGTGCTTGTATATGAGTTTGTTTAACCCTGACCATAATCCTTGTGATGGATATATTGTTATTATCTCCATTCCATGCATGAGGCTCAGAGCTGTTAAGTAACTTGCCGACAATCACACAGGTAATAGTCGACAGCTGGATCCAATCTGTGGGCTCCTAAGTGCTGTATTTAACCACTCCCTTGCATTATACTAATTCCTTAGATTTTGCAAAAATTTAGTCATAGGGGTAAAAGATTGAAAAAATGCAATTGCATGTATAGTGCGATGCTACCTGATGCTCCATCCATAGTCGTCAAACTGAAATCTCTGTGTATTTATTTAGTAGCCTGTATTTTGCATCGGAATGATGATTCCCATTATTGAATCTGACCAGAAACCAGGGACTGTTTTTATTTACAACAGAAAGCATCTACTAAGGCTTATTTTGTTTTCTATATTTGATCTAGTATATTAAATAAAAGGAAGTTGTGCCTTACTTTGTATTCCTTTGAAGGGTCCAGCTCTTCTAGCATTTGGGAAGGCATCAGTCTTAGCTCACCTTGGCAAGTGAGATGGAGCAGGGATTTTGCACAAAAGCAGGTTTTTTAAGCTAACACTTTTTTTTCTTAAAAAGATCCATTATTATTATAAGCTGAGTATATCTTCTGAATGAATTGAACAGATCTGAACTGGATGCTTTGAAAAGCTGACCAAATTGCTCAGACCACTAAATAACAGGGTATTTGCCTTTTGGCGAGTAATTTTGCAGAGAATGTTTGTGTACAAGTGGTGATACCACTGCATGTCACATTAGAAGTGAAGGCAGAACGATGAATAGCAGGAAAATACCTCGGACTGGCTTTACAGAAGCTCTCCCCAAAACCTGACTGAGAGCTCTCGCGGCCTGGGTGAGCCTCTGCTGCGTTTACAGGGACGGGACAGAATCCTGACCCTGCACACGCAAGTGCGCATGGAGAACAAACAAACCCAGCCTGTGTCCTTCCCCCTCATCTTTGTGCAACCAATCACTTTTTTTTCAACTAACCATTTTTAATTATACTGGAGAATGTGTAACTATCATTTTTAGGCATATCAAATGCCTTTAGCTCAGACATGTTCATTGCAAATTTCTGTGACAGGAAGGCTTTTGTTAAGAATACTATTCCTGTCTCAAGGTAAATATTTGAAAACATGTTTTAAAAGTGCTAATGTTAGTACCAACAATGTATTTTAGATGTAGAAAAACTTAAATCTACAAAAATAACAGAGAAACTTCTTGTCTATGATTGTACTGATTTTAAGAAGCCATATGTTGCTAATACAAGTAAAACTTAGCATATCAAAAAAAAAGAAAGAAAAAGTGAAGGTACACCAAAAGGCGTTCGCATCTAAAAAAACTGCTTGGCCCCACTGAACGAGACCAGAATTTTAGGTTTTTTGTCCATTTTAATGTTTCGTGGCCAGTTCCCCTGTTGCGCATCTCTGATACTTAGTCCGCGTAACACTAGGCCAAAGCCACCGTCACGCACAGGCTGCTTAGCTGTCTGCAGCCTGCAGAGATGTGTGTCGAGGCCACAGAAGGGAGAAGGTCATTCATCTTCCCCATTTCAGAACCACCTCAAAACCTAGCAGCCCTGTCCTCAGTAAAATTTCATAGTGTTTGGTAAATATGACTTGAGCGCAAATTTGGTTTGTTCTTTCCCTGGCATATGCAGACAATAAAACTGAGCATTTCTTTTAAAGACAAAATACTGTGCTAATATGAAGGCCCACAAAGGAGCCGACTGCTCATAGGAACACTTGGGTTTCCGGAAAATTCAGTGTTGTCTCAGCGAGGTGTGGGGCCTTTAAAGGGAGCACCCTGCTCTCCAGGTGTGCACCCACCAGATGCAGGGCCCAGGAGAAGGCAGGCGCCCGCCAGCGGCCCGACAGTTACCCCGGGCCAGGCCCACATCCTCTCTGCAGACCTCTGCCCAGGCAGCATCCCCGGAGCCCAGTGGGGCGCCAACTCCCCAAGGGAGACGGGGGCTACCTTGACCTTGGAGAGCCCCCGGAGGCCAGAGCAGGCTCCACCAGCCTCCCCTGGGGGCCAGCTTCACCCAGAGGCTGAATTTGCAGGGCAGGTTGTCAGCTCGTTCCTGGCCATACAGTTCATTTTAGGTTTCCTTAGGTTGCATATCCAAAAAGCACTTAATGCAGTTCAGAAAGGGCCTTAAGAAATAACAGGACTGTACCAAAAAAGGTCTGCTTAAAAACACTCAAAGGGAGAATTACCTAGATTTGTCTGGACGAGGTGATATAATTTAGCATGAGAACATTATTCATGATTATTTTATTCAAACTGGATGCCAAAATAGAAAAAAGAGGTTTTTTCCTTCTTAATTCTGAATACCCATGTGTGGGTGTCTTGCTAATTATAAGCTCCCTAAAAATGATAAACTATTAAGTGCACTGTCTGATTTGCCCATTTAGCCGCTAGTTCATCACTAAACAGAGATATTATGTTGTTGATATGCTCATGGGCCCAGATGGTAAACAACTTGAAAATAATCTTTGTGACCCCCAACTAACATCGTTAAGGATCCAGGAGCCAGTCCGTGGCTCTGATGAGGCAATTTCTCGGGCTCAGAGTGATCGCAAACAGAAACTATTCTTTTGCATCTGGGAAGCCAAGTACGAAGCTTCAGCAAGTGTGTCTGGGTAGAATTTCTTCTACCAGATCTCAAATACATATGTAAATGTATTTATTATGTCTAAATTTTATATGTGCATATATAATATGTATTTCATACATATATAGTCTATGAATTATAGGTGCATACATACATATATTTGTTGATGCTTAAAATACAGAGAAAATGGGATCTTTATTTTTGGCAACTTAAGGAGAGTATATTAATCATACCAAGACTAGAACCTTCAACACGGTTTGGAGTAGGAGAAAGTTGGTTCAGAAACAAATGTTAACCGATACCCAGAATAGATTCCAATCAAGTCATATGATGTTATTTGTAGGATAGTGTATCTTCAGAAATCCTGAACCATTAGTTCTGCCAAAAAAAAATTATTGTGCCTAAAAGCTTTTAGATAGGACATTAACATGCAATTTTAAGTTTTCATGTCAACTGACAGTCATTTATTTAATGTTTAGAGAGATGTTTGATAATTCCGAGGCTAACCAGCTCTCTCTAGGCATCCAGCTCAAAATTAAACTCAGTACACTTCACCTTACTTTCCTACAGATTCAGCATTCAGTCTGTCTGTATGAAATTATTGATGAAGTACCTGTTACCTATCTTTGTTTCTTGAGACAAGTAATAGTGAATTGGTTTATATACATAAATATAATCTGTAATGATGATTGAATTGTTTAATTCACAGAACACTTAAAAGGAAAGCTAGATGACTATATTAAGCTGTGGAATGGCCTGGTGAAGGTATTTCGAAATGAAAGAAGAGAAGGTTTAATTCAGGCACGAAGCATTGGAGCCCAGAAGGCTAAACTCGGACAGGTAGGGAACGTGTGTATCTTCAGGGTCAACATTTGGGGTACGGGAAGTAAAAGCTCATATACGTTCTTAAGTACCCTTTGGGGTTTTTGCTTTTTGTTTTAATTGAAGTGAAAATGCAGTGTTAAACGTACAGGTCATATGTCGGAATTGACTCTAATGATAATTTATATACCCTCTAACTTTAAGTTGTGTGTGATATATGATGTACCACATATGAGGAGTGTTCTTACACCCCGCCTCTTTTTCTTTAAGGTTTTGATATACCTTGACGCCCACTGTGAGGTGGCAGTTAACTGGTATGCACCACTTGTAGCCCCCATATCTAAGGACAGGTAACATTTCCTTACTTTTTTTCCTTTCCTGGTTGAAAAGCAAACCTCATCCTAGAAGGACAAATAATATCCTCGATCTCTTGATTCCAGTCCCATTCAGAGCATCAAATGAGGGGTTCTGAGAGTTACTCCGTTAGTTGTTTCCCAGGGAACCAGACTCCCACTGTGGGCTGGTTCGGATGCAGGGGGTCAGGTGTTTGGGAACAGCACCTAGGGGTGCTCCCTGGAGAATCCTCTTGTGACTGGGTTACTGAAGACACTTGGCTGTCTCGAAAAGCTTGCTCTAAGAGTAACATAAACTGTTCCCTCTCCACTGCCCTAACAGGTCTAAAGACCTGAGATTATACCTCTTTGGCTTTTTAATGCCCTTTTATTAGACATTTGAGAGAGTAAGGACCAGCTGGTACTTGTGTCAAGGCTGTGGGTTCCTACAGAAACTTCAAAGTCTGGCAGTACACGACCCTCCCATGGAAATGTGATCCCCCTTCCATTTCAGAAATGTCTGAAAAATGAAAGGCAGTGTTAATCTATTTCCAAAAGCCTTCCCAGCTTTTAGTCCAGAATTTTGACCATTTCAGAGTCTAGGGAGATGAGGCATGTCCCTGTGGTGAGGGGTGAGTCAGAGAACCTTGGAGGATTTGCTCCCTGGAGGATCTCACGTGTAGGACTGTCACACGCATTCTCACACGCGGTCTGACCTGACCTCACAGTGGCCCTGCGGGAGAGATACTAGCTCCATGGTACCAAAGGGGAGACTGAGACCTAGAGAAATGAATCAGTTTACCCCAATCAGACAGATGGTAGACTACCAAACAGGGTCTCTCTGGGATACCCTGGATTGTACCACTATTTAGAAATCTGAGAATCATGAGACAGAGGGAAGATAACAGAGCTTCCCCTCCAGGTGGAAAGCAGCAGGCCTCCAGGGTGGTAAGGAAGGGCCTTCACAGGGCCCCGGGGCACATGTACCCCAGGTGGTACCCCCACTGCCCATGGGGGCTGCATCAAGGGAGTGCTTGCACAAGTCTACTTCCCCCATAGCCTAATTCTAAGCCCTAAGGGTTTTTCTCTTGTCCTTCATTTCTGAACATCTAAGAAGCACCTAAATGTGGTTATGAAAAGCTGTAGTCTCCCCTTTAGGAAATGCAGTTTAAAATCTTTTCTGATAAGATGACCATTAAAACAAGCAGCAGGGTAGCAACTCACCACCAGCATCTTCAGGAAGCCCAAATACGAAGGATCGTTTTTGCTCCAATTTCTCAGGCCGCTCCTTAAGTTCTGCAGCACGCTTTGAGGGATTCTCTTCTAGTTTTTTTAAGAAGCAGGAGTACAATACAGTATTTTGTTTTACAATGAGAGTTATTTTTTGCAATAATAGGAGTTGGAAAATAAGGTCAAGTAAAAGTCCTGTGAACGTACAGAGAAAAGATTTTCGCAATTGTGAAAACTGCCAAGAAGTGTAGCCAGTATTATCTTTTTATCCACACATGCATAAACACATTTCTTTAATGGAAGGACAATAGGGAAATAATTGGCAGGAAAGTCTTATAAATAATACAAAATTGCCAAGAGAAAGTTGCTTGTAGGACTGCAGTGAAAATGAGAAGATGCTACTAAGCTCAAAGACGTGGCTCTTTGTCCCTGACATCTGTCTGTGAGTCGATGGAAATGTCTCCCCGTCCTTCCCTTACAAAAATAGCCTCCTTGACTTTTAAAGATGTTTCATTTACTTCTGTTTCTCATTAAATATGAAAGTCCTCTAGTTAAAACAAAACAAATCGACAATGAAATGAGGGAATTCAGTCAGGCATGCTGCGCTAGCCAGTTTTGGGTTCTTAAATGCGTTTTCATTTTCTGTAAATGTTTCAGAACTGCATGTACTGTGCCTCTAATAGATTACATAGATGGGAATGATTATTCCATTGAGCCACAGCAAGGTGGGGACGAAGATGGCTTTGCCAGAGGGGCCTGGGACTGGAGTTTACTGTGGAAGCGTATTCCTCTAAGCCACAAGGAAAAGGCCAAACGAAAACATAAAACTGAACCTTATCGGTAAAGATGACTACTTTATTTTCTTACATCGAGTGTGTATATCTAAGTACTTCTCTTTTCCTTCCCCATGTGCTCGTTTAAACACGTGGGGGCCTTACACACCCTCCCATTTCATCTTTTCTGCCATCAACATCGCCCAGAACCATTTGCACTGTGCCGATTATAGATGTCATAAGTGGCAACACATATGAGATTGTGCCCCAAGGGGGTGGTGACGAAGACGGGTACGCCCGAGGAGCATGGGACTGGAGTATGCTCTGGAAACGGGTGCCTCTGACCCCTCGCGAGAAGAGAATGAGAAAGACAAAAACTGAACCGTATCGGTAATCACTAAATCGCTTACCTGTTCTTCTCTCCAGTGGCTGCTAACCTATTAACCTCTTGCCAAGCTCCAATAGTAGTTTTGAAAACTATAGATGCTCTCAGATTCTGAAAGGGACCCTTTCTTTGCACTGTTTCAGAGGTGTGAATTCACATCTGCTGCTTTGTAGCTGCTGCTTCTATAAACGCAAACTCCGTGGGGGAGGGGGCGGGCGGCAGGGGAATGTGCTGTGACATTAGTCCCACATGCAAGTGAATGAAAGAGAATCTTTGCCATCCAGTCCGAGTAAACGAGACATTGAATTTTCTGCTTTTGACCACAGTCACTTGGTAAATTAAAAATGCATGAATTAGTTACTATCCAAGATTCATACCCACTTTGATGCCTTAGGTGTTATGTTGACAATAAAAGGCAGTAGCAAGAGATTTTTTTGTTTTGTTTCCTTCCTCTTGTTTTATGTACTAACACCTAAATACTAATTTTGTACCAGTTAAGTCTGATGAAGAAAAATACATGACGGTGGAAAATGGTACAGAGAATCCTTTATGATCCTTCCCTCTCAAAGGAGTGTATGACTAAAAGGACACTCGTCCAAAATCAGCTTTTGTCCCTTCTTGTGGCTCTTGAAATGGAACAATTTATGCCACTCTGTTCTTTTGGTGGTCTAGCGGGCACATTTTACTGTCTTTCAGAAGAGTGACCCCAAAGGAAATACCTGTTCAAATGTTAGCGTAGGCTTCTGAATGTGTCTGTTTTTACTTTCCTGGTCTTACGGTTCTGCTCCTTGTGTGTCTCCCTGTCCCACTGCTGATAATGTCAGACCTGCGTGTGGGGAAGGTGTTCCATGCCATCAAACACTGCTGGGATGTGGGCATGTCGTAGTAGCGAGGCACTGAAATGGCAAACGTAAGGAAATTATAGGACTTTAAGCTTTGATTGACATTCTCCAAATTCCTTTTAAAGTTCTTTTTTAAAATAGTGTAGGAATTTACTACTCACCTGCTTAACCTAACAAATAATTCTGGGAGAGGAAAATAGGGTAGCAATTACATGGATTTCTGCCAATTCCATGGGCTAGTAAGACATTTTTGGTGAGGTGGGCTAGGGAAATTTAAGGGAGCTTTCCCTTTAACTCACTGGTGTGCATGGTAAGGTGCATTTTCAAATATATGCTGAGATGAGCGAGAATATATTCAGAGATCAAAAGGCATAGGTATAACAGAGTAATTTAAATGACTTAAGTAAATATGACATGAAAATACAACGAAGTGCTATTTTGCGGGTTAGGAAGCAGACCTTAAAAAACAAAGGCACATGACAATGACTTTCCCTTAGTGTGATTTTCCTTTAGTACTGAAAATGTCATTTGACTCATTATTTGTCCACGTAACAGATATTTAATGAGTACTTACTATGTGCCAGGCACTATTTTCTGGGGATAGATTTTTAGAAGATAAGTTCTCTCATGGCGCTTAAAATACAGTGGGTTAGCTGGGAATTAAACGGGTAACTGCACAGGTACCTGCCGCAGGAAGGTGTGAGGAAGAATGATGGGTGCGTGGGATTTCTGGGAGGCAGCGGGTCCGGCTGGAGGCTCTGAACAGCCCCCTGTCTAAGTGCCACTGAGGCCGACTCTGCGGGTAAGGAGCCCACCCCACGGAGGGGAAGCAAGGACCTTCCGGGAGAGGGCACAGCACGAGGGCAGGCCCAGAACGGCAGGGCGGTCGGCGTGGGCCAGGCGCGAGCAGAGCAGCCCGAGCCCAGGAGCCAGCTGAGCCCGGAGACGGGACCGAGGACCCGCACGGGGCTGGGACAGAGTAGAGGACTCGAGTCAGGGCCTTCCCGTGGCCGTGCAGGCTGTAGTGGCTGCTCTAGGATGGGAGCAGGGAAGTGGGAAAGAAGCAGATTCGGGATGTATTTTCGAGGTAGAGTCAATAGGAATTAATTAGGTAGGTTGGATATCAGGCGTGATGAGGAGGCAGGGACCCAGCGCAGGGCTCGGATGGAGAACCTGACGCACTGGTGACTGACCCGAGGGTAGATGGAAATGTCTCCCCGTCCTTCCCTTACAAAAATAGCCTCCTTGACTTTTAAAGATGTTTCATTTACTTCTGTTTCTCATTAAATATGAAAGTCCTCTAGTTAAAACAAAACAAATCGACAATGAAATGAGGGAATTCAGTCAGGCATGCTGCGCTAGCCAGTTTTGGGTTCTTAAATGCGTTTTCATTTTCTGTAAATGTTTCAGAACTGCATGTACTGTGCCTCTAATAGATTACATAGATGGGAATGATTATTCCATTGAGCCACAGCAAGGTGGGGACGAAGATGGCTTTGCCAGAGGGGCCTGGGACTGGAGTTTACTGTGGAAGCGTATTCCTCTAAGCCACAAGGAAAAGGCCAAACGAAAACATAAAACTGAACCTTATCGGTAAAGATGACTACTTTATTTTCTTACATCGAGTGTGTATATCTAAGTACTTCTCTTTTCCTTCCCCATGTGCTCGTTTAAACACGTGGGGGCCTTACACACCCTCCCATTTCATCTTTTCTGCCATCAACATCGCCCAGAACCATTTGCACTGTGCCGATTATAGATGTCATAAGTGGCAACACATATGAGATTGTGCCCCAAGGGGGTGGTGACGAAGACGGGTACGCCCGAGGAGCATGGGACTGGAGTATGCTCTGGAAACGGGTGCCTCTGACCCCTCGCGAGAAGAGAATGAGAAAGACAAAAACTGAACCGTATCGGTAATCACTAAATCGCTTACCTGTTCTTCTCTCCAGTGGCTGCTAACCTATTAACCTCTTGCCAAGCTCCAATAGTAGTTATGAAAACTATAGATGCTCTCAGATTCTGAAAGGGGCTCTTTCTTTGCACTGTTTCAGAGGTGTGAATTCACATCTGCTGCTTTGTAGCTGCTGCTTCTATAAACGCAAACTCCGTGGGGGAGGGGGCGGGTGGCAGGGGAATGTGCTGTGACATTAGTCCCACATGCAAGTGAATGAAAGAGAATCTTTGCTATCCAGTCCGAGTAAACGAGACATTGAATTTTCTGCTTTTGACCACAGTCACTTGGTAAATTAAAAATGCATGAATTAGTTACTATCCAAGATTCATACCCACTTTGATGCCTTAGGTGTTATGTTGACAATAAAAGGCAGTAGCAAGAGATTTTTTTGTTTTGTTTCCTTCCTCTTGTTTTATGTACTAACACCTAAATACTAATTTTGTACCAGTTAAGTCTGATGAAGAAAAATACATGACGGTGGAAAATGGTACAGAGAATCCTTTATGATCCTTCCCTCTCAAAGGAGTGTATGACTAAAAGGACACTCGTCCAAAATCAGCTTTTGTCCCTTCTTGTGGCTCTTGAAATGGAACAATTTATGCCACTCTGTTCTTTTGGTGGTCTAGCGGGCACATTTTACTGTCTTTCAGAAGAGTGACCCCAAAGGAAATACCTGTTCAAATGTTAGCGTAGGCTTCTGAATGTGTCTGTTTTTACTTTCCTGGTCTTACGGTTCTGCTCCTTGTGTGTCTCCCTGTCCCACTGCTGATAATGTCAGACCTGCGTGTGGGGAAGGTGTTCCATGCCATCAAACACTGCTGGGATGTGGGCATGTCGTAGTAGCGAGGCACTGAAATGGCAAACGTAAGGAAATTATAGGACTTTAAGCTTTGATTGACATTCTCCAAATTCCTTTTAAAGTTCTTTTTTAAAATAGTGTAGGAATTTACTACTCACCTGCTTAACCTAACAAATAATTCTGGGAGAGGAAAATAGGGTAGCAATTACATGGATTTCTGCCAATTCCATGGGCTAGTAAGACATTTTTGGTGAGGTGGGCTAGGGAAATTTAAGGGAGCTTTCCCTTTAACTCACTGGTGTGCATGGTAAGGTGCATTTTCAAATATATGCTGAGATGAGCGAGAATATATTCAGAGATCAAAAGGCATAGGTATAACAGAGTAATTTAAATGACTTAAGTAAATATGACATGAAAATACAACGAAGTGCTATTTTGCGGGTTAGGAAGCAGACCTTAAAAAACAAAGGCACATGACAATGACTTTCCCTTAGTGTGATTTTCCTTTAGTACTGAAAATGTCATTTGACTCATTATTTGTCCACGTAACAGATATTTAATGAGTACTTACTATGTGCCAGGCACTATTTTCTGGGGATAGATTTTTAGAAGATAAGTTCTCTCATGGCGCTTAAAATACAGTGGGTTAGCTGGGAATTAAACGGGTAACTGCACAGGTACCTGCCGCAGGAAGGTGTGAGGAAGAATGATGGGTGCGTGGGATTTCTGGGAGGCAGCGGGTCCGGCTGGAGGCTCTGAACAGCCCCCTGTCTAAGTGCCACTGAGGCCGACTCTGCGGGTAAGGAGCCCACCCCACGGAGGGGAAGCAAGGACCTTCCGGGAGAGGGCACAGCACGAGGGCAGGCCCAGAACGGCAGGGCGGTCGGCGTGGGCCAGGCGCGAGCAGAGCAGCCCGAGCCCAGGAGCCAGCTGAGCCCGGAGACGGGACCGAGGACCCGCACGGGGCTGGGACAGAGTAGAGGACTCGAGTCAGGGCCTTCCCGTGGCCGTGCAGGCTGTAGTGGCTGCTCTAGGATGGGAGCAGGGAAGTGGGAAAGAAGCAGATTCGGGATGTATTTTCGAGGTAGAGTCAATAGGAATTAATTAGGTAGGTTGGATATCAGGCGTGATGAGGAGGCAGGGACCCAGCGCAGGGCTCGGATGGAGAACCTGACGCACTGGTGACTGACCCGAGGGTGGGGGGAGCGGGGCCAAGCGAGGGGAGGGTCAAAGGGATCCCCTTACCGTTTCTCGTAGTGATGGCAATGGCTTGCCCCAAAAAAGCTACCAAATCTTTCTTCTCTTGTCCCCAAAAAGAACCCAGTTCGAGATGCCGTTTGAGAGGCAGGACAGAGCGCCCTTCTGCATGCCCGCCTCCTGACCCAGTAAACAGCCGTCGGGTTCTCCCATGTCGTTTCTGGGCCACGTTTGCAAACTCTGAATGAACTGCGGCTGTTGGGCGATGATTCACACCCTTAGTTGGCAAGCCCCTGGGCTATAGAATTAAAGAATGACAGACTCCTTCCACGGTGTATGGCTTCGCTCATCCCAGAATGACTCATGAATCATTGCAGGAGCCGTTGGCAGACCGCGGCTGTACGGCTCAGTATGTTTAGGAGTGAAGAGAAATTCTACTTTAAAGAACGCTCAAAACTTAATTTTTAAATCAATAGAGGAACCAAAGCGCCCTCTAAGGGCAAAAGCGTGCAGCGCCCCAATTTGTAATGAACTGTAATTGGATTTCAGCCGGAAGTGTTAGTAAATTAGGGAATTATGAACAGATTGTTTTATGAAGTCTTTATAATTTCTTCATGTTTGGCCATCAGTTTAGTCTCTTCTGTGCATTACTTAGACTGTGTCCCAAAAAGGCTTGCTGTCTGTGGTGGCGGGATATCGGGGGTCCCGCCTTTAACAGTTACTGCGGTGTTTCTTTTTCTCAGGTCCCCAGCCATGGCTGGCGGGTTATTTGCCATTGAACGAGAATTCTTCTTTGAACTGGGTCTCTACGATCCAGGTCTCCAGATTTGGGGTGGTGAAAACTTTGAGATCTCATACAAGGTAACATTTCATTTAAATAAGTGCAGTTTTCCAAGTATTTAGTGACTTTTGGGTAAGGCTGTTTCTTCTGGGATAAAAACTGTTGAATTCATTTCTCTATAAATTATTAAGACTAACAAAAGTGTATGCCTTTTGGGTGAAATAAGGCAAATTGCACGCTCCAGGCTTGCTGCGTATTTACATGGCTCAGCTCTTAGAGCAGCGAGCGGTTTCGGGATGGAATGTACCTCCACGTCTGCCCCAGCCCCCAGACTGGGCACATCAGAGCCTTTTGTTAGGGAAGCCCTTTGGTGCTGGGACCACTTTTGCCCAGCCACTGACGTAGCTAGCCTTTATCACGGTAGGACAGGATGATTCAGGACAGAAGAAGGCCCTGCGCAGTAACTGTCATCAGACTGACATGGGAGTGCATGTCAGTTTCTCCCCAATTTCCCGCCCCCCAATTTCCCCAAAGAAAACTCGCACATTGAGTTAAACAGACATTCTTTACCTCTCCCTGGAAAGGTCCAGAGCTTAGCACCGTGAGGGACAGGAGAGGAGTCACTCTCCCCTTGTTCTCAGGGAACTTGGCATCGATTAGAATGGAAACGTAAACTCACGATTCACTAAGAAGGCGGAATGGCTTTCAGTTGTGATTAAGAAGCGGCATCATGCTGGAGGTAGAGTTTGAGGTGGAGCCAGAAAGATGGGCATGATTCAAATAAGCAGAGATAAAGGGAGGGGAGGGGACTTCTACGCAAATAGAAAGGCAGATATGCCAAGGTGGGAAGACAGGTGTGTCCAGGAAACGCTGAGGAGCGCAGCTTAGCAGAACCCGACAGGCTGAGCAGGACATCCGAGCAGGTGGGGAAGACGGCCTTTACTGCTGAGATTCTTCCTTAATTTGATAAGCAGTGGAAACCCATTGAAGATACTAAGCAAGGGGATATGACCCAACACCGCCCTTCAGGGAGGATAGTCTCCTGCTATAAAGAAAGACAGCACCCAGCACAGAAAAGCCCAGGGTGGCTGGGCCAGTTAGCAGGTTATGATAATCGTCGCCCAGGTGGGAAACATGTCAGCAGTGGAAATGACAAGCTGTGTTAGGAGTGGAGAAGCTGCGTGGCTGAAAGGCTTACTGGGAAAAGGTCGCTTGGAGCCCCAGGAGCACAGGAGGAGCCCCAGGCAGCAGGTAACGGCACCCACGTTACTTTTTGTTACGTGAGTGGGAAAAACAAATCATTTTAGGATGTTGAGTTATGAATTCCCCCTAGACGTTGTATCTAATTTAGGGTTAGATTTACATTTAGAGGATGGATTTTCAACTGTGATTCATTTGGGCATGTGAAACAACATCCATGTGCTTTTTCTTGACAGATCTGGCAGTGTGGCGGCAAATTGCTATTTGTTCCCTGTTCTCGTGTAGGACACATCTACCGTCTCGAGGGCTGGCAAGGGAATCCGCCACCCATTTATGTTGGGTCTTCTCCAACCCTAAAGGTGAGTCCTTGGCTAAAAGGGGAGAAAGCGAAGGGACCACCGTTTACGCGCCATGTGGATGGCGCACGAACAGGGTCGGTCTTTTACGCAGTCATGCTGGTTCCCGCTTGTCCTTCGATTACACTTTCTCGTGGAACTTAACTGTTTCTTATGATTATTCACTGTCTCCCATTCTGATGAAGACGTCTATATTGAATGTTTTCCGTGAAGACATCGCAAATTCAGAAAGAGCTGACTCTGTAGGAAAGTAGTGGAAAGGAAAATATAAGCTTCTGTTATTCCCACATGTAAAATATTCTTGTTGGTTTTAAAAAATAACCATATTAGGAATTTGTGCAGTGAACAAAGTCAAATTTTTTAACATTACAAAAAGGTAATACCTTTTGTCCCTCAAACCAAGGACAAACCAGGAAAGCTCCCCAAAGAAGCCAGGTGGCCCCCCGCAAGGAGGACTGGGACCTCCCGCCCCGATGAGCTGCCTGGAAGCTTCTCTGGTTGGGTCGCTCTCCTGGGTTCTAGTGGCATCTGACCCTGATGCCCTTCGCTTGCTGGAGTCCTGAAGCAAGCCAAAAGCAGGGGGAGGCTTGCTACCGGCAGCAGGTGCGCCTGCAGGCAGTTCGCCAGCGAGGAGCAGGCACCGGAGGCTGAGACAGCGAGGCTGGAAGAGCCGCCATAGCTTCCCAGCCATCCAAATTCCCTTAGGAATGGCCGAGTGGAGCCCCACTTACAACAGGGGCAGGATCAAAATATCTGCAGCAAAACTAAGATCGCATCACATTATCAGCAGGCCTGGCTGGTTTGCAGAAAAGAACCAGCCCTCGGAGTCAGGCCCATGACCATGAAGAATTAATGAAAAGTTAGGTTGGTTCAGGAAGGAAGAGAGGAAGAGAAGAGCAGGTAAGTGGCTGGCGGTGTAGAAACTCCCCAGTAAACCGTTCACCGTTCAGTGGCGCCGCCCGTGCACAGGCACTCTCTTCTCCAGCTGTGCCACCATCGCCTTCTGCCCAGGCTGCGCCAGTGGCCCACGCTGTTCATCCAGCCCACTCGTCTCTGACTTCAGCCCTTCATAGTCCCTTTTCTTCTAGAATTATCTTTTTAGGTGATGCTCAGATATTTCAAACTTCATGTCAAAGCTGAACTTACCGAACTTTTTCTTTAAAGCAGCTCTGTTGCCCATGAATGAAACCCAGGGGTCGTCCTCCTCGTCCACCTTCCTGGACAAGCCCTGGCAGCTCTGCCCCATTCCTGTCCCTTTCCGTGCTTTGGGCAGGTCCTCACATCTCGACTGGCTGTTAAGTAGCCTCCCTCTTAGCTCTCTGTGTGCAGGTTCCACCCTCTCCTGCCCGTCTTCTGCTAATACCGGTGTGACCCCCTGGAAATTAGCTCTGATGTCTGTTACCTGCTTTCAGTTAAAGGATACAATTCAAAATCCTTTGAAAAGAAAGAATAGCTAACACTTTTTGAGTGCTTAGTGTGTACCAGACGCAAATCTAATGCTTTACATAGATTAACTTCTCAATTTTCACAATAAACTGTAAGATAAGAAGGATACTTCTCATTGCAGAATGAAACGAAACTTAGGCCTGTATGCCGGTCACAGTGAGCCGCTCTCCGGGCCCAGGTGCACCGTGACTTGTCATGCATCATCTGCGTCGCTCTCTGCTCTGAATACCATTCCCACCTAGCTAACCACTCCTTCAAGACTGAGCCCTCCAGCGCCCTTCCGCGGGGCCCCTCGGTCCTCTCCATCCCTAACAAGTAAACTCTCCCATAAACTCTGAGCTTCGATTTCTTCCACTAGAAGCAGGATAGAACATACTATCCTAGAATAAATAATCCTGCAGCTAAGCAATACCAGACTCAGCGTCCAGCAGTTTCTAGTTGAACATGCACGACATTTTTATCCTTGGCAGTTGATATATTAGAGTCATTAGCTCACTTGGTATTTGTTGTTTAATTAAATATCAGGCCTTATTGGTAGGTGACAGGTCAGTGTCTAAGATAGACTGTTTCTGACATTACAAATATTTCTTATTTTTCATAATGATACTAATTCTCTTTTTCACAGAATTATGTTAGAGTTGTAGAGGTTTGGTGGGATGAGTATAAAGATTATTTCTACGCCAGCCGTCCTGAATCGAAGGCATTACCCTATGGGGACATATCTGAGCTGAAAAAATTCCGAGAAGATCACAACTGCAAAAGTTTCAAATGGTTCATGGAAGAAATCGCTTACGATGTCACCTCACACTACCCTCTGCCGCCCAAGAACGTCGACTGGGGAGAAGTGAGTATCTGCTGATTTTCAGATCTCAAAGTGTGTGTTTAGAGGTGTCAGCCAAGTCCTGTCACCCATGTTTGTTTTTGATCATGGTGCTGGGAAGGAGGATTTAGAGTCTAAACAAGAACGCCAGTTAGGAAACCCGCAGGGTAGTTCCAGTGAGAAGTGGGACGGCTCAGTCTAGGCTGTCGGAAGTGGCCATGGAGAGATGAAAACAGACTTGAGGTGCACAGTTCCTGGGGAGGCAGGTCACCGACGGGCTGGTCCATGACATGGTCCGGGAAGACTAGATCGGTTCTTCCCTGGAGTGTGATTAGATGGCCGCTGAGGCGGGGAAGTTGGCCAAGGGGACGGGCAGGAAGGGCTGGGGCCAGCAGGCTTTCTGTCGGTGTTGTGGGCGGGTGAAGGCACCCTCAGGCACCCAGGAGAGCCCTCGAGTAGGTGGCAGGCGATACTGCGGCCCAGAGAAGGGGCATAGGGCACGCGGAGCCCTCAGCAGGTGGATGGGACTGAGTGAGATCACGCGGGGAGGAATTACAGAGGAGAAGGGACGGCGCCCGTCCCTAGGGTTCCATCCCAGCTTCAGAGTTTGGGACTAGGAGGCGCCGACACTGACGCTCTCTCTGCACCTCTGGTTTCCACCCCGCCCTCTGTGTGTAAGTGCCGCCGCCTGGGAGATGGGACCACCCCTCCCTTCCCCCTCAGTCTCCCAGGACACCGTCCGTGCGACATCTTCCCAGCCGAGTTCTCTGGGTGCTCATGCCCTGTTGCATGGCTTTAAAACCGAGGACGTGCGATGGCTCTCAAATCTCTGTCTTCAGCCCAAACCTCTCCCCCAGCATCCAGACAGGCCCTCAGCTGCCTGGTTGACATGCCACCTGGGAGTCTTTCAGATCCAGCGTCCCCACACCGCGCTCTGCTCCCCTCCTGCGTCCATGCCACTGGCTTCAGTCCGCTTCTCTCACACTGACCCCCTGGTTCCCGAGCCTGCCCCCTGTGTCCTGCGCTCTGAGCCACGCATCCCTCCCCGAGACCCACTGTGCTTCCTGCAGCCTGTCCTAGACCCAGCAGGCAGCGACTTTCCTGCTGGGACTCAGGTCATACCCTTCCTGGGAGTGAAGGCAGCCAAGCCCTGGCAGACCTGCTGGCCCTCCCTGGTGGCCTCTCAGTCCCCCAGCTCCTGCTGTCCCCACCTCCTGCCGGGGTGCCTCCTGCGGACAGCGGTCAGCCCCGCAGGTGACTCGGATCCCTCAGGTCTGCGTGCTGCACCCTCTCTGAGCTCCGCCTGCTTGCCCCCCAGCTAGTCCTGGCCGCCTCCCCAGCCTGCCTGTGTCCTCTTTTCTCCAAGGCACTTGCCACTTCCTAATGCACCTGTGAGGTTTTTCTCTTCTGTCTTCCCCTCCCCACCGGCAAGCTCGCTGGGCCAGGGACCTTCATCTGTTCTGCTCCCTGGTGAGCCGGAGCCTCAACGTGCCGGCACAGCCCTCACTTAATACTCGGTGAAGAAACAAAGGTGCCAGTGAATAAATAGATGGCATTTTCGTCTTGCCTCTCCAGCCCCACCCCTGAACTTCTCAGGTTGATCTGTCCCCATTCTGGCCTCTGCACCTTACACTTCCCAGCATCCCTGCACATCCCAGGGCAAACCCCTACCAGTTAAAAGAGTTCCTCTGGGCGGGGCAAGAGGCTCCTCCCTCCACCCTGACAGGTGATCACCTCCTAACCTCCCTGCAGACACAAGGGTCCTGGGCCATGGCTTGCTTCTCTTGGTATCTTCTAGAGCTCTGATCATCATAGCTCCTCTCTCAGTGTTTGCCGACCGACTGAATTAATACAGCATTTTATCTAAATATTGTAGTCATTTATAATTGAGGTACTATAAATATCTTTCCGAAAAGGAAAAAGGTTATTCTTAAACAAAACCTTCATTGCAAATACAGAAACCTGTGTTTGCTTCTCACCTCTGTTGTCCTTGGTCAGTGAACAGTCCCACCGCCTGGCCTCTTTGCTATATAACCTTTGCCCCCAGAGCCCTGGAGGCAGCTACAAAAAGTGTCACACAGCCATTCAGGATGGTCACTTTACAAATTCGCTTCTGGTTTAGACATCCAGGGCCAGTGACTGTTACACCCTGTAGAGTAAAGGCGACTTCACTCGCTTCTCATTCACACGGACCACCATGAATCTGAATTGTACTGAATGATACCCTTTTATTTTGTCTTCGGGGGTATTGCATCAAAATCTCTAGGCCAGTGTCCTTAGTTGCAACAGGCTCCTTCCAGTGTTGACCTCAAGACCATAAGTGATTTCGGAGATGACCAGCATACCGCAAACCCCTCAAAGACTGACAGCGCGGCAACAACTGGGCATCATGCCCAGGTGCCCCTGCGAACTGTAATACTGCACATGGGAGTTTTCCTCGGACACCAGAGCTTACTAAAAACTAAACTATTTCCTGCTCTTTGGTTCTGTGTTCATTTTTTAATTTTTTAGATCAGAGGCCTTGAAACTGTTTACTGCATTGATAGCATGGGAAAGACGAACGGAGGCTTTGTTGAACTGGGACCCTGCCACAGGATGGGAGGGAATCAGGTAAGTGCACTTCTGTGTTGAGACCGGTCTGCATTGAGAGCTACCAGGGTTACTGTGCTCTTCAATCTGGTCATTTTGTTTTGATAAAATAAAGCATTCTGTAAAAAACTGAAAATGCTAAAATTTACTTAGCACCTGCTTAGGTGAGGGGGAGCAGTACTGATTTTCACGTAAGCAACCAGAATCTGGAATTTGTCTAATGTACGAGACTAGAATACATTCTTGGGTAAGTATGTGGCCATGTAGCCTAGCTTCCTAACAATTTTATTTGCAAATATTGTTCAGTATTCTGTATTTTCCCAAAAAAAGCTGGGATGTTACTGCCAGTAAGGTATATTTCACTAATATATTTTCTTATTGCCTTTTGTGAGTGCTTTTCTTGTCTCTAATTTAGATCATGAAACATAATCATGTCTGTTTCCACTTATGCATTGGCTACCATTGTTGGTACATAATAAACACGTGTTCATGACCCAGTCTGTGTCTCAGAGCCTAGAGAACATTGTATAATCCTTACAGAGTTATTAGGGGTCTTCACTACCATCAAAATGAATATAGTTCCTGTCTTTGGACCTACGATTTTGAATTACAGAAAAACTATAGAAAAATAAGATAGTCATCAACTTTAGAAGAATTAAGTTTCTTTCTCTTTAACGTGTATATTAGCAGAAAGGTGCCTCTGTTATTTTTTAATGTCTTTTTGTTTTAATAGCTTTTCCGAATCAATGAAGCTAATCAACTCATGCAGTACGACCAGTGTTTGACGAAGGGGCCTGACGGGTCAAAGATCATGATCGCACACTGCAATCTAAACGAATTCAAGGAGTGGCAGTACCTCAAGGTATTTTGTATTTCAACCCCTTACTTAATATTATATGCTGTTTTTTTCTTTTTTAACACCTGCCACTTGGAATTTAGATGTATGACTCTTAAAATCTGCGTTCAGATTGGTCTGCATTTCCGCCTCTCACTTGAGCACCGAGTGACTCACGGCCCCATAAACAAGCATCACTTTTATCCCCTGGTGTGGCGTGTAACGAGGTCACAAGATGTCCACGAGACCCCCTGCCAGTTGCAGCGACACAGGGAAATCTGTTCTTGGAGGCAGTCATCACCCTTATTCTAAGACCGAATCTGATTTTTCACGTCTAAATTTTCCGTATGTAAAAAAAGGAACAAGTATTGCGTTTGTATTTCATGTTGCCCAGCAGGTGGAGACAGAGACAGACAAATAACACTCAAAACTCCAGGCCTTCACAAGTTCGTGTTGCTGCTTGAAGACTGTCGCCCACTGCTTGTTTAAGGTCCTACTAGATCGCCCACTTCACGCGGCAGGAGCAGTGTCTCTGTCTCAGCTGTGAATATTCAGACTTCTGTGCCCGACCGAGGATTCCGTACCGCTGAATTCATGTATAATTTTCAAAGTCTATCTAGACTTGACTAAAATCAATTTATTGTGAAACACAAAGTTGGGAAAGCTGCCCCATATTGAAGGAACCTGACAACCCTCAGTTTCACTTACTCATCTGGTTTTTGTTATCATAGCCTGTCTGTCATGCAAGCGCTTGTCTGCTCTGTCATGACGTTACGACCCAGCTTAATATTCCCACTTTTCGTCATTCATAGATAATAACTAGGAGGTTGTATGTGTCACTTGCTGATTTTTTTTCTTATGACAAGTTAGGAAGGGGAAGATTTACATAAACCCATTTATTTCCACAAAGAAAGACGAATAACAGCAATAAGTGATAGGCACTGGTGAGAACACTCTCAGTAAAACCGTAGGAGGGGGCTCGCAGACCGGAAACGACCATCAAGCAGTAATGGCTTAAAAGATGGAATGTACATATTTTAGGTGTTTTAAAGGACACAGCGCTGAATATGTATCCATGCACCAGGCATTGCTTCAGTATTCCCTGGGGCCCAATGATGTGGGGAACTTCGAAAAATAGCTAAGACGCATCATACTGTAATGGCAAAGAAGGAAAGAAATGCAGAAATAAAAATAAGCAAATGCCATAGGACAGCAAGAGAGGTTCTAGGAGGAATCCCCTCTGGTGAGTTTCATGTAGGAAGTATCGTTGTACCAGGTCTTGAGGTGCACAAAGGCTTTTCAGGGCAGATAAGAAAACCGGGCAATCAAAGGCACAGCATGAAAGTGTGCGGGCAATTCTAGGAGTTTCGTCGGTGCTTCCAAATTGTTCTCCATATGCAAGAACACTGAACTTCATTTGTAAGTGGTAGAGAATGGTCGACATTTTTGAGGAGCAGTGATAGGAAACAATGGATAATGGTAGGAAAATAATTCTGGCAACATTGTGAAGTGTGGACCGATCAGCAAGTAGATGGGCTCAGTCAGCAGCTCTCAAGCTTTCTGGCCTCTAGATGCCCTTGACGCTTACAAAAATTATGGAGACTCCTCCCAGGTAGATTTTTTTGTATATAGGGTATAGATAGAAATATTTCCTGATTTGGAAATTAAGTCTGAGTAGTTTTTTAAGTATTTAAGTATTCATGTAAAAGTAACAAGAATGACCCTATTACATGTTAATATAGATAACACTTAATGAAAAATTACTATTTTTTCCAGAAAAGTAGTGGGAATGGCATGGTTTTATAGTCTGGCCAATCCATTTCATGTCTGGCTTATAGAAGCTGGATTCTCATACTGCTTCTACATTCAGTTTGATGTGCACTGTTATTTTAGTTGAAAAATATGAAGAAAATCCAACCTCACATACATCCATGCAGTTAGAAGAAAGGGGGCAATTTAATGCCTTTTTCAGATAATTGTGGCTGTTCTTTGATGCCACACCACAGCTTGATCGGTGGTAGTTTATTAAAAGTTCCTGGCAATGTAGAATCTGAACCCTTATCAGATTGAGTCCTTTGTTACATTAAATCTATTGGTCTGTCTTATGTTTTGAATGGGCCTATAATTCTTCTGAGCTTTTATAACATCATGCATTGCGTTTGGAAACTGGCTCACCACATTGTGTAGATCTTCCAAATGTTGACACATTTCATTTTATATATAATGTCAGAAAATAACAAGTACAAGCACTGATTTCTTCGTCAGAAAAGTCTGTAAGTATAGTGAAGCTGTCACATTCGTGGCAGTCAAAACAAATTTTTCAAAACTCAAATTTTTGCTTGAAAACTCAGATTTTATCAGTGGCAACAGATGCTGTCAGATTTGTTTCTGTTTTTTGGTTGTGTAGGTTTTTTTCACTTTGGTGTTTTTTTGAAGTGACAGGATCACTTCACTTTAGAGAATCTTGAGCACCCATGGTTTGCAAGTTGTCCTACCCCGCCAGGGTGGCAGCCCGTGGGGAGGGCAGCGAGGGGGACCCAAGCCAGACATTGGAGACGCCATTGCCCATCAGCGCAGAGTGCCTGTGTGTGCACTTCCATTTTGTCTCCAGATGTTTTAAAAACTATGCTCAAGGGTCAAGATTTAATAAAATATCAGTAAGTTTCATTGCTTCATTCAGGACATGCTTATGTAAGAATGGCATTTTCTTTTTTAACTGTGAGGATGTCTTCATGAGGAACGTGACCACTGGCAGTTTTGTGTCACTGCTTGATTTACTCGGAGGCCCCAGCACACCACCCACCGTGCTTTTTTGCATGTTTTGAATGCAGCTACTGGGGTCTTCGTGTTATTATGAAAATAGTTTTGCCCTTACAGACCCAGTCTTGGGCCGAGGAGGACCGCACTCTGCGAAGCCCTGGGCCGCACGGGGAAGCCCGCAGCAGACGCTGAGGGCAACCCCAGGGCATTCGCCGGGGTGGAAGGGGGGCTCTGCGGATGCGGGTCCTCGGTGACTGCCCCGCCCAGGGCGCAGGAAGGTGGTGCCAAGGCATCGGCGGAGGCCGCTGCGGGCAGTAGCCGGGACGGGAACGGGAGGAGGGGCCGGAGGGAAGGCACCGAGTTTAGGTTCGTATACGTTGAATATGAGGTGCCGGCACTACATTACGACTTAACAATAAAAGGGATTCCTAGGCAAGGGAAATCCCAAGTCTGAGGTTAATTTGCTTCAAATTACCTTCTTACGAGAGCCAGGTAATGACTTCTTCTAATGCGAGCGGCATCAAAGAAGTACAAATGTAAGGCTTCTGTCTCCTGTGTTTTCCAGAACCTGCACAAATTTACTCACATCCCTTCAGGGAAGTGCTTAGATCGTTCCGACGTCCTCCATCAAGTGTTCCTCTCCAATTGCGACTCCAGTAAAATGACTCAGAAATGGGAAATAAATAACATCCATAGCATTTAGGAAGAATAAAAAGAAACCAGGAACCTACCTACTGACACGTGAATTCACACAGGACCGAGAACCGCCTGACACCTGCTGCATCTGTTGACTGTACAGCTAAACCCAGAACCTCCTGATTGCTTGGAAGGACACTGAAAAACTGTGATTTTTACAATAACATTATCATCTGCAGTTACTGTTTACAAAACTGCTTTTACCTTAAACTTTGTAGATGTTTACATCTTTTATTTGTTCAGTTGTAAGATGATGTTGGTCATTTGTGCATTTAGCTCTGTTTCATTTAGAAGAGAGTTAAAAGCCTTGTGCTCATCTTTGGGATTACACTCAGGGGTCTGAATGGCAGTTTGATTTTTTTTTTTTAAACACACTTGAAGAAAGGTTGGGTTAACCAGACTTTCATATGTCACTTGGTGATGATCAACCTGTTATGTCTTTATTTAATTTCACATCTTTTCGAAGCACTGCCACAGGTCATTAGCCAACGTGGCCTTCCTTCACAGTCATGCTGCTTTTTTGAAAGGTGAATTTCCACACATTTAGTGCCTCTTTTCATTTCTCAGTATATATTTCAAGAGCTTTTGATAAATTTATAAGATAGTTGTGATCAAATTGTCACCTCTATGGGAAATACTTTTACTACTCAGAATGGCTACCATTTGCTTTGAAACTGAGTTATTGTATGACTTAAAAAAGAAATGACAATATGGAACATCCCAAAGCTATTCTATAGGGTTTGAAGATTGTATGGTGTTAACTTCCTTACTTGCCAGCATTCCCAGTGCCCTCTGCTGATGCCAGCTCCGGTGACAGCAAAGGGGTCTCTACCAACTAGAGAAAAATAATCCAGTTACATTTGGGACTTTTCCCCAATGCCTGCCACTATAAAAACTATAAATGACTGTCCATTTTGAAACCTTGAAATGGGGGTAAGAAAAACGATAAAACACCACTGTAAACACATCAGGTTTATTCTGACTGAGGTAAGAATTTCCAAGCCCTTGTTAGATTAAGCCTTACAAAACTCCTGTGCACTGTAACCTAAGCTGTGCAATTTAGGAAGCCAAGAGTGAATGGAGGTTTCATTTATATTTTCACCCAAATGAAATTCCCTGCACATTTAAAAAAATTTTTAAAGGCTATTAAAAATACAATTCACAACAAACTCCTTTCTGTCAGATTAGGTGTTAGTTTCCTAGTGTCTCTAAATTTCTTTAGGAAGCATATTTCTATTAGCGTTTTTCCAGAAAATGAAGGCTTTCTTGGATTTAAAAACTTGATAGTACCTACTATAGGAAAACCAAATATTGCAAGTGATCAGTTAGATCTTAATTTTTAAATAACAGTCCTTTACTGCCCCAAAGATTAAAATGTTATGTTGAATGCAAACAAGGAAAAGAAATGATGAGGTGGAGAATGGCGAGTAAATGAAGCATTTTTGATCCTGCCATCGTGACATCATTACAATGGAAAGAATTCCTGAACTACTGCCAGAGGGAAATATTTTTAAAGTTTAAAAAAGAAAAGGAAAAAACCTCCAGTTTGTTCAAAAGAAAAGCCTACAAATGTTTCTTCTAAGCTTAGCTCTTAGAATTTGGAGAGTCAAAGTTAAACATCCTAAACAGAGTTTTATTTATAATTTTGAATTGTCAGTTTGTATTTTGCTTCTGATTTGTGATCAACCATTTTAGCTTTCATTCATCTCTAGAGATGTTTAAAAAGGAATACATTAATACGCTTATATATTGCAAAATAAATCAACTATAAAAAAAGGCCCAAGAGAATTGGTAACTTATATGTTTGCAATAGGCTCCATTTTCCTTGTTGAATGGATTATTACCTTCTTAACTATGCATAGATAGGCCTAACAGAGGTGGTATATAAACTGTGCATATGAATTTTAAATGGGTATTTTGTGCAATTCATTCAGCTACTCTATGAAAATGATTCTCTATATTGAAATCAGAAACCTTACCAAACATGAAAAACATCCGAAAGCTGCTGCCGTAATGACTATTTTCTACTGTAGGCTGCTTTGGAAATAATTCCCATATCCTTGATTTCTAAGTGGATAAAATCACTATGCATTTCTATACATTTTATAAATTTGATTTATGCAGATTTTGATACACTGTATGTTTCTGTAGAAATTGTATAAATATTCAAATTTTTATTAGGTATAAATTTGAGAAGTTATGTATATCTTAATTCTGGGTTATGTGTTTTTTAGGTGAGGAAAAATAAAAACTGTATTTTAATCCATGGTTTTTTTCAGTACTTGTAATCATTTCTAAATCTAAACACTGCAGATCTGAAATAATTGCTTGATTTTACTGTTTACAAGATACACTTTTAAATGCAGTAGCTGAAAATACCATAAACCATAGTTACATGTTGAGCATGCACTTGAGTGGTTAGAATTCTGCTTAGAAAGTGCTAAGAATATGCAAGAGCTTACCTATCTGTAAGGAAGAAATGAAGGTTTATTTTTGCCTCTGGTTGACTGTGTATAGCGATTTTTTTTTTAAGTCACTTATCCAGTTATAAAATACAACCCCAGCAACGTACATCTTTCTTGGCAATACAGTCTATGTAATTAGCTAATGAAAGCAAAAATTTCTTTGAATCAAAATGTTTTACAACACGACAGATTGACAGAAACAAACCACAGGACCTTGGAGCACGACATGCGACATCGCAGGAGAAGCGGTGGCTGCCCACGTTCTGGTAAGTGGCTGTGTTGATTTGGAAACTATTACCACCGACTTGGCTGTTTGTCTTGTCTTCCAGTCCTAAGCTGCTATGCCTTAAGAAACTTGAAAGGTGACACAGCACCAGACTGCAGTGAATGGAGTCTGAAGTGCTTATTTCTTAAAATATTGTCTCTCAGGGATTTTCGAGTGCATTTCATTTCTGGACAGAAAGTAATGGGGGAAAAAATCTACCTACAATTCCATGGGAAGCGCAACAAGTACCTGCCTGAGTCAGACACCTAGTAAGCTGTTGGTTTGGGTGTGTGAAAATTAAGACATGTGAAAGTGACTTTTTAAAGTATTGAGCATTAGGAAAATGCACATTATTCATTAGACTCAATCTGCTGCAAGAAAACGGACAAGTCAGGATGCTTTTGGGGGAATCACCATCCTTGGAATTAGAGATTAAAGTGAGGACTGTCTCTAAACTATTTCAATAATTGCTTTGCAATTCTCATTTTTGAGACTTTGAAACGCCCAAAATTTAGGTTAGTGGATTTGTTTTATAAGTGAATCTGGCTTCTGGCCCACATCTAAGCAGAGGTGGAATGGAAGACCCCTTAATTTTGCCAGTGGGGTGATATTACCATCTGCTCATCTGAATCGTAGCATAGGATGGTGGACTTGCCTATGTTCGAATCCCTGTTCCACTACAAATTACTTGTGTGACCTTGAGCAAGTTATTTAACCTCTACACCTTGGTTTCCCCATTTGTAAAGTGAGGAAAATAGTGCCTATTTCATAGGATTGTTATTAAAATTATATGAGTTAACATATAAAAAGTGCTTAGGATAGTCCCCAACATATTTAGGGTAATATAAATGTTAGTTATTATCTGATTTCAGTATTAAAATCTGTCCTTGATCAGAATTAAGACAGCTACACTACAGACCCTCTGTAAAGGCAATGTGTATCTGTTTTGTCTATATCACCACCCCCACTTCCCAAGTGAAGAAATGATGCTCAGAAGTTAAGCTGCTTCTTAAATTGGAGGTGAAATGGTTATCCATTGGGAATAAATGATTACCTCTACCTCACACCTTTTATAACATGTGGAGAACATAGTTTTCAGAGGTGTGATTTAACTCTTGAATAGAACTAAGTGCACCCTGAAGAATGTCCAAGATGGTATATTCTTTATCAAGTGAAATTTCTCTTGGGCTTTCAGTATGAGCATATAAACACCACCTGTATTCATGTGATTAAATGCCCAGAACAATACTTTCGTAGAAAAAATGAATAGGTTTCCATGTCTGACCATAACATAATAAGTGGTATTGGGACTTACCCTACTCTCCTAAACTACTGTAAAAGCAGATAAAACATATATCCAGGAATTATTTCCAGGAATTAGCTAACAGGCAAAGCAGACCATGATATTTGAGAGGAATGCACACGGGGAACCTAGGTTTGTGTCTGCCTGCTGGCGAAAACTTTCCCAACGGTGGTGCAGCACAGTGGAGCTCACACGGAATGATATTGCTAAGCTGAGGAGGCAGACAGCAGGAGTTTGTAGCTGCTGAGACAGCTGCAATCTATGGGGCAGGTTCCTGGAGGGGGCGTGCACTTCACTACCAGGAAACCCGCACAGGAATTTTTACAGCACTGCCATTTACAATAGCAGAAACCCCAGGAATAACCCAAATACCCATCAACAGGAGGATGGATAAACTCGTATAGTCACATGAAGGAATGTTACACAGCAATGAACATGAACTAGTCATAAACAATTCAGAAGGATAATGTTGAATGACAAATTCCCAAGACTTCACTCAGCAAACACTTTTTGTAAATTCAAAACCAACTAAAACGTAATCACACATTAATATGTGTTGGAGAGGTTAAATAACTTGTCCAAGTTCACAAATTTAGTGTGGAGTCAAGGACATAAACACCAATACTCAGTACCCATAGAGCCCCAAGAATAATTTCTATTTGTTATCTATGTATCTGTAGTTTTCCTCTCCACCTTGACTGTCAAGAATCTCAGAACTGTATCTGATACTCTTACCATAGCAACTATATTAACCTATACATATTGGTATGTATACTTTTTAGCTAATACTATTTCTTGCTACCAGGCTGTGTCTTAAATGTATTGCATTTAACCCTAAAAAAGAAAGTTCTAATTTTACAGATGAGAAAACCAAAATGATTTGTTTGATGTTGCCAAACCAGAAAGAAACAGCCCTCTTCACACTCTGATCTCATTCCCAGGGGTAAGCTTCTCAGCGTTTCAATCTTCATTTGTCATAACCTTACTTTAGCCCTTTGTATGTTTGTATTTTAATTTGTCGTTACAAGCCATCTCAACTTCATTGGAAAATGGGAAGACCCGACTAACACAAATGTAACTTAGTGTTAGCATCTCCTGCCTGCTGCCCTGAGACACCGTCCTAGATGACTGCTGTGTCTTCTGAAGGAAGGAGACTGGACCAGTTCATATCAAGAGCATTTCTGGTTTTGAAATCGATTATTCAAAGTTGCATATTGCTTAAAAGTTATTTTTTTCTTTTCTTTTAATGTGACAATCTAATTGTGCTCCTGAGCCATGGTTCTGTAGATGGGGTAACTCCTAGGATGAGGCTCACCAAGGGAGAAGTCTGCATTGTCAGTCCTGACCTACTAAAGCCCAGGAGCACAGGAAACTCCATTAAGGCCTCAGGAGCCATGTCTGTGTTTACCTTTATTGCAGGGTAAGAGGCTAGATGAGTTTCAATCAAGGCGAGAAAGGTTTCTTATGCAACTATGAAAACAGTGCTTAGCTAGCAAGCACACACATAAACGTTTACCAGTAGCTCTATTTCAAATAAATAGCAATCCTACATTTACCTACACTAATTCACAGAAATGGCAAACTGGTGACCCATGGGCAGAATCTCACCTACAGATATGTTTTCTTGGACCCTGACATTTGGGTTCATTGCCAGTATTTACAACTCTGGTTTCACACTTGTTAAAAATCTAGAGTTCTGTTTCTGCTTGAAAATTTGGGACAGTTGGGGATCCAACACCCACATTTCCATCCAGCAACAGGACTGAGCTAAACAATAGCTGTCCCCTTCACCCTGGGCATCTTTGTTTAAAAACATTTATAGAGCTCCTATTACATTTCCAGCACTAGGTACAGTGCAGCATACACCTCAGGCCCTTGCCCTGAGCTCACACCACCAAGTGAAGACCTTTTCCCTGTCGACCCTTCTCTACATCTTTGCACTTCCTGTCAATATCCTACCTTTTTCCAGAAATGTCAGTCTCCAATAGGAATCTCATGAGAACTAATCCAAAAATGGCTTATTTCTGAAGTTTTTATTTTAAAAGGACTGAATCTTAGACAGTGTCATAAAAGCCACTGTATCTTTCTTGCTGTTCCCCAAGAAATAAAATCATTACTGTTTTTAAAACACTTCTAGTGGCTTATGTAGTGACTGGTTTGAGATAATATTTGAGATAATCTAAGACAAGCTCACAATTTACTACTTTAACAGTAAATGATGCTGTTAAAAAGCAAAATACTTAAAGGCATATAGTCATCTACTGAGCAAATTTGCAAGTGACTGCTTCAATACATAAGGGACCCTCAGATCTTCTAACCCAGCTTTCATAGATTATAATAAGGCCAAAAGTAGTAACTGCCATCTGGAAATCTGAGCCCCTACCTCAGTCCTTGGATCAGAATAAATTGCAGAAGAATCCAAGGTTTAATAATAAGAAAGTTTGTTTAATCTTAATTGGGAAAGGCCTCGCCAAGGCCACTAAAGGGTAAGTTTGCCTACATAAAAATAAAACTTTGCATGAAAAAAACCATCATAAACAAAGTCAAAAGAACAAATGACAAGAAAAGTATTTACAAAGCATATTACAAAGGGTTACTACGTTCCTTAATTCCTGCAAATTACTAATAAAAACAATACAGAAGACCACAGAAACACAAATGGCTCTTAATATAAAAAAATGCTAAATTTATACTAGGAAGAACCACTTCTTATATATCAGAATAGCAAAAGATTAAGTATGAGAACTATACTTAGGAGGAAAAGAGCAATCTAAAGCAATCATTGCTGTAGAATATACATTATTTCTATTGAGAGCAATTTTGGCAGGCTTCAGTAAGTTAAAGCACAAAAACAATTTCTTACTTACACCAAATTGGGTTTTAGTTTTTCTAATGACTAGCAGATTGTAAAATGTAGAAACTTATGTTATGATTTTTTTTGAAATTACATACAAGGATAGTCACAGCAAGTTTTTAAGCAAAAAAAAAAAAAAATACAAAGTACTCTCTTTAGGGAAATGGTTAAATTATGATCTATTCAATGGGATACTATGCAGATAGCTATTTAAATGAACATGGCAGCTGTAATACTGAGAACAATCTCTAAAATGATGAGAACAAGGGGCAGAATACATAGTCCATTTTGTAGTATTAATTTATATACACACCATTATTCATTCTTAAGTCTGTCTTAAAGAATAAATTACTCTATTAGTAAGGTTTCCTCTGGGTGAACTAGGTTGTTGAGAATCAAGGATGCAAACCACCCACTATGTAGCCCTTTTATGTTGTACACTATTAAGATACCTACTTCTTAAGAAAATAATGGGAGCAGGGTTTCATAAACGTACCAAGGACTAGCTGGTCTGGGAAAAACCACAAATTCTTGACCCCTTTCAGCACTTTCCAACATAACCACTCCTTGTCACCTAGTCCTAAAAAAGGTACTGGCCTTTCAGGGGTATTTTAAATTTAGATTCATTATTACAAAATATCAAACATGAAGACTCACCTCAAATCCTGAGCTGATTTTGGAGCCGCAGTTCTTGATTATGAGTCAGTCTTAGTTTAGAAACTTAAAAAAATATTTGAATAAAGAACAGAATGAAAGCAGTCACAAAAAACTCCCAGAAAGGTAACAGAGAACCTGGTAGGTCTGCTTCATGGGTCTAATCTACAGATTTAGGAATTCCTATTTCAATTTTAACAATTATGTAACATTTCTCCTATGTACTAGGTACTGTTGTACTTTCTTTTAATCACTAAAACACTGTGTAATGATCCCATATTACTAATGGGGAGAAATAACCTGAAGTTCATAAGCCTAATATTGGTAGAAATGGGGAACCAGGATCCAGACCTAGATGTTTCTAAAATACATTACCCCAAAGTTTTTAGCATTTACAGAAAATATCTTTTAAAGAAAAAAGCTTTCATTTAATTACCAACAAAACCCTGAATTTAAATGTGCAATCATCAGAATACAGGGCAATCGTAGTGGTTTTAAGATTTTACTTGAGTCCATTTGCTCTGGTTAATTATGCTAATACCTCACTTTCACTTAACTTTGGTTATTTCCCGTTTGAGAAATGAAATAATCCTTAGCAAGTATTTATTCCAAATATGGGACAAGACAGACACAATCAAAAGCCCCATGCTTGGGTAGTAAGAATTTACTTCTGTTCTAAAATTTGATAGGTAACCAATGTTACCTGGTTTAACTATATCAACCAAGATGTTTCTTCTATAACCATTTAGCCAGCAGTCTGTTCCCTCTAAGGCTTTACAGAGCTAAGGATGTACAGGGATGGGGCGCTGAGACCCAAGGCAGTCTTCACTGCCACCTGTTTACCTCACGTCCCACCCACCCACACCTTGCTCCCCTAAAATTAGATTTAAGCCCTTTCCCCAGCAAATATAAATCCTAGTCACAGGAGGTTCTGATAACCATCTCAATTGCTTGCTTGGGTTAGTTACTCAGAATTCTAAAGCTTAAAGACCACAGATTTTTAAGATTTAACTCAAAATTCACTTTGATGTTGTTCTACCATGAACTAGTTCATTATTAACAGAAAATTTAAGCTATAATGACCTTTTTAAAAGTTTGTATATTTCAAGGTAATGGCACTAAGCTCCTCTGCCTCATTAATGAGAAAATTTCCAAGATAAAGTATTAGTTAAAACAAGACCCAATGGACTAGTTAACAGATGAACAGAAATGTCAAGAACAGAACTGATTTTGTAAAACTGTGTAAATTTTAAAAGTTCATTAAATTCCACACCTAATTTTTAAAGAATGCTTAATAAATATGAAGAACATCGACAAGCTTGACTTTTTTAACCAAACATTTTACTAAACTCTGTATAGGAACATTAGGCAGAAACATGACAAAAGTCAACATGGCTCCAGACACGTTCTTTAAAGTGAAAATTAACTCTAGCATAAGACAAAAAACAAAAATAATATAATTTTATTACAAAATTTTTTTAAAAAACAAAATGTAACATTCTAGCAAATCCATCTACTGATACTAAAGCCCTGCATGTTTGCTGTGCTACCACACACACGTCAAGAAATTAAGGAAACCATTAAATATTTAGAAACATTCAACATCAGCTTTAAAATCTAACTGTAGGTAGCAGCCCCTCAAAAAGGCTGCAACCTGCATTTTTAGAAAAGTATTTTCTCTACAAAGAATCTTATCAGCTATACAAAAATCTGTACAGTTTTTATACTGAAGCTAATGTTGAGCTGCACGTGAATTCACATTCTTAGCCAAACAATTGCCTGCGCGCGCCCGACACAGCGCCCGGGACGGCGTTCATTCTTCATCCTCCTCCTCCTCCTCCTCCTCCTCATCTTCCTCCTCCTCCTCCTCCTCCTCCGGCTCATGCTTCTTCTTTGACCCCGTCGGCCTGCCGGGGCCCTTCTTCCCAGCCTCACTTTTGCCCTTGGCACGGTACGCGGCAATGTCCTGAAATACCGCCCAAGAGCGTCGGCTCGGCGCCCGGGGCCACCACTCAGATGCGGGCCCCGCGTCACTGACCAGCGACCCCGACGACCGTCCGCAAAGGTGGTCGGCGTCTAACTCCGCGCGCCCCGCCCACCCTCCTCCGACACCCCGAGTCGAAGCGCCGCCCTCGGCCGTCGGCTTTCCCGGACCCGGGGCCCCGCCCGCGCTGCCCACCCCGGCGTCGGGCGCGGGACGCCTGCGCCGCTCAAGCGCCCGCTCCCCCCGCCAGGCCTTCGAACGCACGACGGCCGCTCACCGGGCCCCGGGCCGCCCGGGCGCCGCGCGGGGACGGTACCTTCTCGTACTTCTCCTTCAGCTTCGCCGCCCGCTGCTCGTACGGCTGCTTGTCCTTGGCCGCCTGCTCGGACCACAGCTCGCCCAGCTTCTTCGCGGTGTCGCCGATGGACAGGCCCGGGTGCTCGCTCTTGATCTTCGGGCGGTGCTCGGAGCAGAACAGGAAGAAGGCGGACCTGGAAGGGGCGGCGGGTTAGCGGGCGGGCGCGGGGCGGCGGGCGGGCGCGGGGCGGCGGCCCGGCCGCGGGAGGCACTCACGGGGGCCTCTTGGGCGCGTTGGGGTCCTTCTTCCGCCCTCTCTTGTCGCCCTTGGGGGGCACGTAGCTCTTCATCTCGCGGTCGTAGCGGGCCTTGTCGCTCCGCGCCATGTCCTCGAACTTGGCCTTCTCCTTGGCGGACATGGTCTGCGGGCGGGGAGGCGGCCGGACGGCCGCGGCGGGGCGTGAGCCGCGGCCCGCGGCGGCGAGCGGGGTCCGGGGGCGCCCGCGGGGCCCCGCCGCCCGCCGGGCGCGCCCTCACCTTCCACCTCTCCGAGCACTTCTTGGAGAACTCGGCGAAGTTGACGGAGGAGTCCGGGTGCTTCTTCTTGTGCTCCTCCCGGCACGTCTGCACGAAGAACGCGTACGAGGACATCTTGCCCCGCGGCTTGTTGGGGTCCCCCTTTGCCATGGCGGCGGCCTGGCGGGAGGAGCCGGTGGGCGGGCGCCGGAGGCCGCTTCCCGCGCAAAGCCGCCGCCGCCCCGCGGCCCAGGCCCCGCTCGTCCCGGCGCCGCCTCCCCGGCCCCGCGGGCCCTCCCGGCAGAAACGCTCCCCCGCCGCGCAGCTGCCGCCCCGCGGCCCGGCCGCCCGCCCTCCCCGGGCCCGCCCTCCGCCGAGCCCCGTACAAGGCCGCGGGGAAGCGGGAGCGGCCGGCCCGCGACCCGAGCGGCCGGAGGGGCCGCTTGCCTGGTGGCGGCTTTTCCTCAGAGCCCCGCGGAGCGGCCGGATGCCCCACACACGCTTCCCTCCCTCCGCTCCGGCGTGAACTGGTTTGTCGCGGACGCAACCCTCAGCCTCTTGTTTTGCAGAGTTCTCCGCGCCACGGCAGCTTGACAAGACGGGCCGCAGGCCACACCCCCGCCTCTCGGATTGGCCCTGGTGGTTATTCAAACTTCGCGAGGCCTCGCCTCCTAGCCACGGGGGCTTCCTATTGGCCGGTGTCTCGCCACGCCCGGCTCCCGAGCCCCAGCCTAGCAGGTTCGGTGGGTCTCGCAGGTCGTTAACTCCCAGACCCGTTAGAACCGGTCAGGAGAGGAATGCACTGCTCGGCCCTGATTGGCGTCGGGAAAAGAGTTTGAAAAATGGCGGGCCTGACGCTGACTGGCCTGGGCGGCCGGGGGGCGTGGCCGGCCCGACTCGGGAAGCCCCGCCAACTTTAAAAATACCACCGTACGGACTGGGTGGCGGCGGCGCGGTCTCCCGGCCGCGAGGTGACAACTCGTCCGCCGCCCCTCCTCGAGCCTCGGCCCAGCGACGCGCCCCCCGGGAGCCGTGGTCACCCCGCCGAGGCGAGCGCAGACAAGCACAGGGGGAGCGGCCGGGGCGCCGACCCCGCGGAGGCCGGTGGAAGCCGCAGAGGCGGCGGGGTGTGAGGAAAGGCCCTCAGCGCGGCCCGCCTCCCGCCGCGTCTCGGGCGCCACCCCGGGCGGCAGACTGGCGGGCCCACCGCTCCCTCCCGGCCCGGGCCGAGGCCGCGCCGCTGTGGGGCCCGCCGGCTGCTCCCCACGCCCCGCCGGCCCCGCAGTCGCCCTTGAGGCCCATGTCAGCACCCCCGAGGCCGCCACGGGCCGTGAGTGCCGCGCCGCACGGCCCCCCTGGGCCGGTCCCCGGTCGGCCCCGCGATGCGCCGGCGGTTGGTCTCAGCCGACTTCTGAATCTTCTCTTAGGTCCCCAGGAAGTTCGCTGGCACGTGTTCGTGTTTGGTTTACGAACGGTAATCACAGTCAAAGGTAACTCACAACCAACAGCTTTTTATCTAGATTTACTAACCGTAAATCTGGATTTTTAAAAATATGTGTAACTTGGACACGGGTATTGGTTGCCCAACATTGTGTGGGTACTAATGCCGCTAAATTTAAAAATAGATTTTTAAAGCGTAGTGCAATAGTGATCTGCTCATTTTCGAATAATGTAATACAAGTTATTTTGTCAATTTGGATTTTTGTGTGTTTCTACAGCACAATTGTAACGGGGACCTTATTTGAGAATAGGGTCATTGCAGATGTAATTAGTTAAGATGAGATCGTCCTGGAGTTGGGTGGTCCTAACCCAGTACGGGTGGTGCCTTATAAAAAAGGGGCATTTGGACACAGACAGGCATACGGGTCAGAGGATGTGAAAGGACACGGAGAAGTTGGCCACCTACAAGCCCGAGGGAGGCGCCTGGAACAGACCCTTCCCTGACGGCCTTGAGGGAACTAGCAGTGCCCATACCAGATTCCATCCTTTACTCCGTCACAGCAGACATCAGGAAAGCAATCCCACAGCTAATGTACTTTTACCCTTATTCCCAAGACTTCATCTTACTGACTTGGAAGTAACATTGAGAAGCGCAATCAAGTAGCAAACGAAATAAGATTCAAAAGAGATTGAGATGGTTGTTAAGACCCTTTTTTTAAGTAGAAAAATAAATTTCTCTTAAAGACTTAAATTGTTTTAAACATACAGAAGCTGGTAACAGACACAGAAAAATTTAGGCCCAAATGTGGCTCTGAAAATATGGGTTAAATACACAAGAGTCAAGGCCCGCTCTTAGGAATTACTTGGCATATTATTAAGACTTTATCAGGAAACTAAAATGTCCAATAAAGAGGTAATACCAAAGATTTTTCTCATTGTATTTCTCATCTTGTTACGGGTCTAAATGGGAAAATCAGATTATATTTCTAAAACTCAACTTCAAAGCCATTTGTTTTCAGGAACATATCAGTTTCCTATATACTAAAAGTGATTTCCCAAATTTTTATTAGTATGATGCATCTTTATAAAATGGCGAAAAGTGTTTATGTTCTTCATAAAAAATGTACAATTTAAATCCGACAAGGACTTGTGATTTTGAACAGTGAAATGAACATTTCTAGGCTTTTGATTGACTGTAAAAATGAGGTTGGAGGGAATAATCTCTAAGGTATTCCATTCAGCTCTTAAATTATGTGATTATATAATTCTGTGAATATATGATCATAATGGGAAATACATATTTTAACTTTTGCAATTGCTAGGTGGTCAGGAGATTTTAATTAAAATCTTAAAATATAAATAACTTGTGTTCTAGGAAGTCCTTTGGTTATTAGAGTACCAATTAGTTGTGAGCCCAGTTACTTCAAACAGTATTTGATGAAGAGTTTATATCTGCCCAAATGCGATAAACTATAAACCAAACTTTAGATTACACAATATTGTTCAGTCATCTTAGTCTTCTACTAAAATGATTTTACTGGGTTCTTTTCCCCTTAGATGATAGCAGTATATCACTTTATTCGTCAAACTTTGCCTACATTCAGCATCTCACAAATTGTACCAACGTAAATGCTTAGCAATAAGCTAATTATGAGTTAGGATTAAAGCTGTTTCTAAATAGATTCCCTATCCTATACATACAAATAGCTGTTCTGTAGGTAAACTGGAATTTATCCACAGCAAAGTCAGTCTTGCAGGATTGTGTAGAAATGATCTGGGTTATGCTAGCTATTGAAATTCATATCATTTATTCATTTAGTTATCCTAAAAATTTAAACTTTTCATAATCTAGTCATCAAACCAGATTGGAAAATCCTGATGAAAGAGAATAGTATACACATTTTTTTATAACCCCCCTCCCGCCCCCGCAAAACAACACACACAAAGGTCTAAAAGATAAATTCTCAGTAATTATTATTTGATTACCTCATATAATTAGCCAAAAGTATACTTTATCTAAGGTTAGTTGCATAGAAAATAATTCTTTTTCTTTCAAATTGCATAATGTAAAAAACTAAAACCATGCACATGCTTTAGTTTCTCAAAGATGACTCATATTGAAGTTTAATATTAAAGTTTTCATTCTACTGCTAGCATTTTCTGTGAAAAATGGTAGGAAAACAAAGTCATTTTGTTTTTCTTCAGAAACATTAACTATTTTTGTGTATCAGTATGAATTAAATGTCCACCAAAAAGTTGTTTACTTCCTAAAAGTCTCCACTGCCATAATTAGGGATAAAAGGACAAATTGCAAAAAAGCAACTTTTTAAGTACTTTGTAGATCTATTGAAGCAATTGTAAAATAATTCAAACTAAAATTCCAGACAGCAAAGAGTTCTTCCTTGGTGTGCGGATGATTTGAGAACAATTTGTAGATTTTAGGTGTGGAACTGAGGATCGTTCTGACTTGGCCCAGGTGGAAGGACTTATACTAAGATAAAGAGAATCCAGCAAGCTTTTGGCAGTTGTGCGGGGTTAAGCACAATCAGTTGGGAACTAGAGGACCTCTAAGTATACATAGTGATCTATTTTCCACACAGGTGAGCTGAATTCTGAAGTGGTATGGGAGGCTAGAGAATTGTGCCAGAAACTTCTAAAAGGCAAATCAAAATCTCCCAGGGTTTCATGGTGCTTGGTAGACAAAAAGTCTGGCTGGGGAAAGAGGGTCTGCCACAAACATGATATGACTAGTCTTTTCCTGAAGATATTTGCCATATTTTAAAGCCATGTAGGCAGAATGTAGAGACACAAGCTCAAAGCCCCAAAGAGCAGAAATGAATTTTCCATATCCTCTCATGGCTAAGGAGACAAAGACCAACAAGCCCTCAATCAAAACCTCATGCGACAATGTCTGAGGAACAGAAATAAGCCAGAGGTGAATGTGGGTCTTACTAAACTTTACAACCCAGACTAGGTACCTGCAACTCAGTGCCTCATTGGACTTAGATAACCCCTATCCTTCCACCTATTAGAGGTTGATTTTTGCCTCAGAGAAGAAAGGTCAGTCCTCCCTAGCAGAAGATGTCATCTGGTGCACATTGTAATAAATTTGAAACTAAGACAGAAAATCTTAAATGGAACCAGAGGAAAAAGTGAATTTTAAAAAGCAGTAAATCTGAACCCTGACTATTCAACAGAATTATTTTGAAATCTGGAAGACCATAGAATGACATCTTTAAATTGGTAAAGAAAAAAAATGGCTAACTTACAGTTCTATATCCAGGTGTGGGGAAGTTGGGGTTCCTATGGCCAGGATCCTCACTGAACTGAAACCACGTGATTACATAACTGGCCTGTTGCTAGGCTACTGCTTCCACACCTGTAGGCAATAAGCTATTATTGCGCCATATAGAGAACTGGCCCGTGCTCTGCGCAGAGACAGAGATGTTAGTGCTCAACCTACTGCTGGGAGGACAAGCCACGTAATAAAATAAACCCTTTCACCCCCAAAAAGGTTCTACTTTCATTTCTTTGGTCACATTGAATCCATAGCGAACTTTCTTGGGGCTGAAACCCTTTGGCAAGACACCAGAGAAAACGATGTCAAGAATAAAGGCAAAATAAAATTTTTCAGACAAACAAAACCTGAGACAATCCTCCTTGTCAGCAGTCCTGCTTAAGGAAAATGATCTGAAATCCTGAGGAAGAGAAAAAGAACACAGTCAAGTATAATTATGTAAATTTAAAAAGACTTGTTTAAAACAACAGTAAATGGACAAATGAAGATAAATTGTTGGAAAGTCTTTCATTATTCAGAAAGTGATAAGAGTAATGATTTGTATTTAACTGATATACCTAGCATGCTAAACTTTGGGGTGCTAGATATATAGGTATGTGTGTATATACAAATTACATGCATATGTAGATAAACTCACCCTTCTGTACAGAGGCTACCAGGTCTTAAATTCATCTGTGCCAAAAAAGCCAATGACTAATGGCTACTAAGCATATGAAAATATGTTTAACACCATTAATCCGTAGGGAAATGCCAGTTGAGAAACAATAAGATACCCCTCTGCACCCACTAGGGTGGCTGTAATAAAAAAGACAGAAAATAGCCAACTGTTAGTGAAGATGGGGAAAAATTGGAACACATATGTCACTGG